GTTATCTGCCTCGGCCTACGGCCTCGACGGGATAACACCCTCCTCGATCTCCATAATTCTTCGTAAGATACGAAAGCGGAATTCATTAATTGTTAAATATCAAAAGAGCCACAATGGCTCTTGGTTTTGTCTTATTTTATTACCAGTTTGTTTTGCAAGTTTTTTTTCATCTTTCCCCCGTCTCGATTAGCCTTTTGTGCTATAAGCGGTGGGAGAGCTTTTTCCAATTTCTTACATACCTGTAATTAACTATGTGGAATAAAATTGTTGTTTGTTGTTTTGTTTGCTGATTAGATACAAAATACTAAAAGGCTATAAATAAACTTATAGCTTTTTAGTATTATTGCATCTGATGAGCGCGGCACGCTCTTGCTGCTCATTAAATGTCTTATTGACTGTGGCCTGCGGACCCTGCGTAGCAGGCGTCGAAAGAGGTCTCGAAAGGGGTAGGGCCGGTACTGGCATGGAAGGAAGGGGGAAAAGGAATGGGGATTGTCACCCAAGCTATATTGACTGTAGTAATAGGCTAAAAGTTCTAGTTCTTAGCAGATGTAGAGCTCGGCTGCAACAGAAAAGCTTCTTTACCAGAGATGCCCAATAGTAAAGTACTTCATTGTTGGCTACCCAACAAGCTAATTTGCTGTTTTCATTTGTCAGGACCACACCATCAGCTGCGGCAAGATATGCAGGGAGTTCTCGTCAAATTAATAGCCCATGTTCGATAACTGATTAACTATAACTCCGTGGCTTTGGCGACAAAATTGCAAATTTTTCACTACTCCGTTGTCTCGCATTTCCCAGACTCACAAAGAAAACCGAACCAAATATAGAAAAATATAGAACGCCTCGAAGTCATGTTAGAATTGTAAATCATACTAATGACTATTGATGGATCTGAGGTTTATGGGTGAATTTGCTGTTGCCTTGTTCGTGGGTGCACGGACCAGGGAGTAAAGAACAACAACAAAAACTGGCCGTGGTGGATAGCATCCTCCTTAATCTCCTTGATCTCCATAATTCTTCAGATGATACAGGGCCTCATTCAAGGCCTCATTCAATAATTGCTAAAGAAATGAACTGCAAAAACCATGGACGAAGATCCTGCTGGTTGTCAACGTTGGATCTGTGGAAAAGAGATTTAATCAGCCAAAACATTAAGAATCAAAAAATTAGAAGTCCAAAGACTACGCCAAAGCTGATCAGAAAAGGCAACGTATATTGCTTTATCGTAACTGATAAAAATACCGTAAAATTCCGAAAATAAGCCCCTCCATGTACAAGCCCCTCCACTGAATATAAGCCCCCAAAACTAGTAACGCAAAAAACCCTCTGTTAAATCGCCCCTCCGAATATAAGCCCCTACCGGGGGCTTGTACTTGGAAATTGCCCTCAAATACAAAGCAAAAACGGTAAATTTCCTTCCAACTATAAGGCTAACCCAATCGATTTTGAAACGCAAATTTCTCTCCGTAGATAAGCCCCTCCGAATATAAGCCCCTCCAAAAATAAGCCCCTGAAAAAGGGCCTTTGAAAAATATAAGCCCGAGGGCTTATTTTCGTAATTCTACGGTATTTAGGTATTTATGATAAGAATTACAATATTCCTGGAATATTATATAGATGGAAAATGTCGCAATATATTTTTTTTAAAAGCGAGAAGCGTAAATGAAGTACAATATAAAAAAAAGAAAAACTAGTAAGGATTTGGATTACAGTAATTCGTCACGGGTGTTTAGGCCATTAGCTTCAAGGACTTGTCTATCAAATGTACGGACTGAATCAAGTGAAGAATGATTTTTCTCGACTAGTGGGAGTTAACTGCATGTCAGTGTGAGAATAGTCAGAGTGGGGACAGAAGATGTTTTGAAACAGTAGTTGGTTTAGAGTTAATGTTAGTTTTGACGACTGGACGTCTGTATTCGTTAAATGTGTCCTTGAACCTTATGGCCTAAATCGCCGTGACGAATTATCAATAGACAGTGGTCGTATTCTCCGACAGTCCTGGGACGAGCTGGCCTTGATAATGAATGCGAGGCTCATGCGGGGACCTTCTCGCCAAGAGGACAAACAAATATGAGAAAACTGCGGCTGAGTTTGCTGAATTTAAGGAAAATTTTTAACATTGTAAAGTTCCAAAGGGCTAACATACTTGAGAGGTCATTATTTCAAACAACAAAAGAAAGATGTGCTCATTATTACTAAGAAAAACAGCGATCCTAACCATTATTATATTGATGAGTGCTTGGTGAGCGAGTTTATGATTTAATATAAACAGAGATGTTCTCAAAATCCCCGAAGCCATTTTAATTTTAATTTTCAGTGTCCTTTAAACTTTTTGAAGAATATCTTTTATTGAAATGGACGTAATTATCGAAAGCCTGCGATAAAGTTAACAGTGATGTTATCACACCTACTTTGCAGTTGAAATTTTCTAACAGAGCGGATGCAAAATCTTGAATTTGTATTTGAAGTAAACCAAACTACTCATTCAGTGGATAATTACTTATCAGGACGGGGCTTAGCGTTCTGCACACAGTGTATGGTACAGACGATAACACTGAGCAGTTTAAACTCCACACTAGTACAGATACACACAAGAGAAAAAGAATAATAATAAGAAAATTATATAAAGAGGATTCGAGTATTGACATTTTGACACAATAGACCATTTCCTTGATTACTTCTTGTTTCTTCCTTTGGCTTCGTGGCTTTTTAACTTTTGCTGTTAGTACGACCAGCTCTTCCCACAGTTTTGTTTTTTGAAACTGATATTCCTTTAGCTTACCCGAAAGATTTCAGCTTCTAAATCTTGCAATTTTTTGCTGATTTCTATTAGTCAGGAGGCAGCTCGCCAAAAAACGATTTTCGCTAAACATTTTGAGTAGAAGCAAACAACATAGCTTAAAATCTTCGTCTTGCCATCCTAATTAAGCACTGTGCTGTTGCCCACTCCAAATGTTATGGTATCGGTCATTAAGCAGGTTTTTTGTCTAGGCCCTCGCTCCTGCAGCATGAAAACGAGGCTGAACTGTAACATTTATATAAACCCAATAAAAAGTGCACAATACGATGGGGAAATAGCTGAATCTTGACGTTCACAGCTCGATAGACAATAGTGTGGGAGATAAAATGCGTCACGTGATCAGTTATGAAGAGTCACGTGACTTTCCAATAAAATCGATTTTAAAGCATAAAAGACGCTCTATTCACACTTTCCTTTAATATAGTTTTCAACTTACTGACGTTTCTCTTTTCAACAATAAAAACACAAAAATGCAATAGGTGATCAGCTATGATGGGTCACGTGATGTAATGAAATCATTCTATTTTCAGTCATTCTACAGCGTTTCCAACCTATGTAACATTTCCCATGAGTTAGGATTTTTCATGTAAAAAGACTGAACTTTCTTCTACTTGGCCGCACGGTTTAAGCCAGAAATACAAGCTTATAAACCATAAGCAAATTATCTTATATTACACAAGACCACCATGTGACTTCCACCTTATCAAAGTTAAAGGTCATGCTTTGTTCGCCTCTGCTGTAGTGTTCCTGTCGTTTCTGCACCTGTCGCCACATTTACATGCCTTGGAAAAGGAAAGAGATAGTTGAACGCAAGTGCAGCGTTGGTTTACACAGCATCCGCCTTCTCGGGAGCACCCACAGTATGCTAACTGTAAACACGCCGCTGACACTTCATCTCGTGTCATTAACTTTGGCTTCAGATGGACTTCACTGTAGTACCATCCGCTGTCTTCAGGCTTTGGGAGAGAAGGACATGGTTCCAGCGCTTTATTCCATACCATGGTCTGATAGTTTGCCCGCTTTGTGTGGAGAATCAGTGCATCTTGAGTCGGAGGTAGGGTGTCGAGATCTTTCTTGGATTTGCGAAACGCTGCTGCTCTTTCTTTGTTGATTTTCAACTCTTGTGTTCCCGGATTGTAGAGTTTGCATACAAAGGCTTCAGCTTTGGCAAGAACGTCAGCACTGATTTGGCTTTCTTCTCCAAGGTGTTCCAAGAGGTCAGGTGCATCTTGGAAGACTTTCCACGCCGAAGCCTTGCCCACACCATAGAACTGGCTTGTCGTACCACAGCCAGTAATGGCATGAAATGCCAGAGGCGACTTCCTCTTCTCCTCGGAGAGCGGGATTCTGTGAACTGGTATGTAACGCCTTTGTCTTGATTTACCCGCAAACATCCATATCTCTTGACAAAGCTGCTCTCGGTGTGCCAAAAGGAGGACAAGAACGCCCTTATCACGACACAAAATGTTGACTTGCTTGTACCCTCTTACTGCTACGTCTCGGGCATGCATTACTATTGTAGTATCTGCCTCCTCATGATCTGATGCGAGCTCTCTTATATCTTGTCGTGATGTGTCAGATGAGCACACCTTCAGTGTATCCTTGAAGCCTCCATTGATCACCAGCTCTCGCCCAGGAGGCGCGCTGTAACTCTCCGAGATGTCAGTCGAGAGGAAATGAGGTAGGCTAGCCCTGTTATCTTCTAGAATGATGAACCTGTCCCAGTTTCCAATGCTCTAATCTCTGTTATCCACATTGCGCCTAATCCCTGTAGTCTTTTTCTCCTTTGCGCTTGTCTCTGGTTCCTCCTGTTATCGAGTTCTTGACATATCTGTCAAATAGTAGGTCAACCCTTGTATAGCCTCCCCCGCAGACATTCTTAGGCGTTTGTCAGGCGTTCCTTCCGTGACGCACGCCTAAGAATGTCTGCAGGGGAGGCTAGACCTCAGGGGCAGTCTGCGAAAGCATCTTCATGTCTGCAAGAAATATGACGCCCCATTTAGTGTAATACGAGTGGTCGAAAGCTGCAAAATAGGGTAGCATTTCGGAGAACGAAGAGAGATCAACTATTTGATTGAGTCAGATAAACACCCTAAAGGCTCGGACACAGCAAAACATTGCGCGCAGTAAAGACAGATCCCACTTCCCTTCCCGGATCGCACGCGTAAACCGCAGTAAGATGGACACCACTTTCATGTATTGCCTCCAGTAACAGAACGAGGTTTGTCATGATGTGCGGCATCAAAAGCTTTGATGATATGTGCAGCTTGTCAAACTTCATTAACAAGCTCATTGCTAGTCAGGACATCTACTAATGCATCATCCTCGTTCCCAGTCGTCAACTTAGTGACCAATGTATCCGACAGATTGAAGCACATATTTACCCCATGAATAGAAAATAATTCCTGAAGAGCTTACTGAAACAATTAATCATTCACGCTATTCACACAGCTAAGACTAATTCAGTATCTATTCAGTGGTTGCTATCTACAATCAGGGACAAAAGTAGTTGACACACTTGTTTAAAACGGGTGCTTTTAACAAACATTTAATTCATTTATTATTTCATTCCTTTTAAACGCCGTAAATCCCCCGACCCCCCGAATCAATGTTGTCTGAAGTAAAAAAAAGACTTGAGGGTCCAAAATTCAACATTGATTTTGGGGGGAAGGGGTTGGGGTAGACAGGGGAAGGGGATAAGTATATTCACTATGCAAAAAGGGGCCATTTTACGGAAGTGTGTCAACACTTTTGTCCCTCATTGTAGTCACGTGACCCATCATAGCTGATCACCTATTGCATTTTTGTGTTTTTATTGTTGGATCTGTAAATCGAAAAGAGAAACGTCAGTAAGTTGAAAACTATATTAAATGAAAGTGTGAATAGAGCGTCTTTTATGCTTTAGAATCGATTTTATTGGAAAGTCACGTGACTCTTCATAACTGATCACGTGACGCATTTTATCTCTCACGCTACTGTCTGTCGAGCACTAAACATCAAGTAACAAAGATTCAGCTATTTCCCCATCCTATTGTGCACTTTTTATTGGGTTTATATAAATGTTACAGTTCAGCCTCGTTTTCATGCTGCAGGAGCGAGGGCCTAGACAAAAAACCCGCTTAATGACAGATATCATAACATTTGGAGTGGGCAACAGCGCAATTCTTAATCAGGATGGCAAGATGAAGATTTTAAGGCATGTTGCCTGCTTCTACTCAAAATGTTTAGCGAAAATGAAAAGTGAGCGCCCTGCGTGACAGTGCTTCCTGACTATATCGTTTTGCAGCGATTCAGCCGCGACTAACCAATGTTTGTTTGTGTTTTTGCCAAAGAGTTCCCCGCTTTAGCCTCGCAATCATGCTGTGAAGTCTCTCGCCCCAGGGCCGTCGAGGAGTACGAATATCTTATTCGTTTTTCTTTTTTTCATGTTGTGCGTCATTTTCGCCTCTCCCTTTTAAACAATTTTTATTGCGACACTCTCCATCTATATAATATTATAATTCCTAACATAAATTAAGTAACATCTGTTAACCTGAATTAAAGCTGGTATGACTGGCCTAAATATTGTTATGAAAAAGCATTACATATACACGTTGTTATGACAGTAGTCTTTGGACTTCTCGTTTTTTAATAATTGCTGATTATATATTCTCTCTCGCCTCGCCAGCTCTTTTTTTAAGAAAAAAAATCGTGATCGCAGGTTATAATCTAAGTGTTTTTGGAACCTAATTTGAGTGTGAAGGGGTAAAATGTACTTTCGCTCGCATTTCAAAGAAGCCAATGTATGATCTACATCTACACCACACTTGAAAACACACTTGAGCAATAGGAAATAGAAATCATCTGAAAGCCATGTGTTGCTGTGCCAAGATTCTAATGAACGGACAGATAAAAATAGACGCTCAGAGTTGTTAAAAAGTTGCCGAGCACAATCTGTTTATGCCTTGTTACTGGAGACCACCAGCTAAACAAAGAGCCCTGCCAAAGCCCTTACGAACAAGATTGGCTGCCGGTATGCAAATGTGTGCTGTCTCGCTATTAGAGGGCTGGTTTCCACAATAGATGAAGTCGCAGTAAGAGTCGCGGTGAAAAGAACAAGGACCGTCTTCCACATAGTCGTTTAACAATAATTCCATCAATCAATGATTATTGGATCTTTTCAACTGATAAAGAGTCCCTTAGTCTTGCTTAGCTGCTAAACTGAACTGAACCCTGTCAAAAAAAGCGAAATATTGTGCACGTGTATCGTAAAAAAATAAAAGGTTTCGAAAGAGCGGAAAAGAGAAAATAACCTTCGAAATTCCATAGTTCACCTTTCAAAAGCTGATATCGCCATTCGGATCAACAACTTAACTAAGATGAAGATGGAAACTTGGTTTTGGATTCTCGGCTGGTTTTTTTCCATTCTGACGATGACTGGAAATGGATTTATTATCCTCCTTGTTTGTACCAGACGGCATCTTCGAACCAAAACCAACGCCTTTGTTTTATCCCTCGCAGGAGCAGACTTTTTAGTTGGGATGACTGCTGTTCCTTCGCTGTTTCTCTTAGAAAGGATTGGCCGCGGTTACTCACAAGGTTTATACACAGGCCTGAAGAGTTTGAAGTGGCTGTTCCAGGATGCATCAGTGATCAACATGTGCAGTTTGGTACTGGATCGCTACATAGCTGTTGTGAAGCCTTTGAAATACTTAACC